AGATGGAATTTCAAATATTAAACAACACATATACATACATACATATAACAATTAATTCCATCGATTGACATCAATAGAATAAATAAAATTATGTTAATTGAATTTGATTATTAAGCACTTTAGATGTTTCATCAAAGCAAAAGATATGTGTTAATTGGAATTTACTTTTCATTTTTGAAAAAAGTTCGAGGATTAGCTATGCCAACAAGGTGGTGCAAATTCAATCGGTGCTGCAAATTCAATCAGTCTCAGCAAAGTTGAAGAGTTTCTGCAAGTTGAAGAGCTCCAGTCGGCAGTCGGTGCTGCACTACTGCGGCGCATCACGAGTCTGTTTTTTTTATGGGTTAAACTTGTATTTAATGGATAAAACGGTGCCGTATTTGGACCAGACATACCATGACTCCATGAGCATGTATCAAGATGATGTGGTTTAATGATACCCCATGTGACAAGATGATGTGGTTTAATGATAGGTCCCATCCACCAAAAAATCAAAATAATACTCCATATTTAGAGATTAGTCATATGTACACATCCATTGAAGCTGAGGCAAATAGACGCCGGATCTGCGTCGAAGGAAATAGGCGCCGTATCTGCAACGAGAGACGAACAGGTATCCAGATTTTTACTTTAATCATATTCGTATTAGACGTTACAGACCAAGAAGAAGAAATCCCCTTTCTGAGTTTTTTGTATTTAAACATCTTACTCCCTAATAAGGTGTTTGCGGAACGTTCGGAGGAGATGGTTGTTTTCCCATTTTTGAAGTTTCATGCTTTTACTCTGTAAGGCTAATCGCAACCCAACTCCGTCAATAAATCAAATTTCTCATCAGTTTATACGTATTCATTCAGTCAATTCAGTTTTTACTGCAATCCAGCACCATCAATATATTCACCAAGCAACGTTGTTCTTAATTAAAATCTTCCTTTAATTATTATACGTCATTTTTTGTCAAATATGTTTTGCTGAATAATTATAATCTTAAAAGTCAAACATTCCGATATAAAAATAAATAAATTTGGATTCTAATTTTGTTGTTGTTAATTTAGAATTATTTTTGAAAGAAATAATTGAAAGATGTAAAAAAAGTATTTTAATCATAAGATCTTAATTTTACCACTTAAATTTATTTAATATAAATTCTGAACATAAAAAATCTCCAGAAAAAAAAACTTATTTATTTTTTAATTTATATATATATATAATATTGGTGTCATATGAAAGGTCATAAAAAAAAGAATTTTGGTATATGTTTTATAAAAATTGAAGTGTGAATAAAAAACTTATAACAAATTAAAGAAAATTGGGATTTTTTAATATTCTTGGCCCCACACACTTTTGAATTGTCATGTACGGATAAGACATTGCTGCGGCTGCTTTTCTCTCCGTCAATAAGTCTCCAAATACCCACTGACGTGGTGCTAGGTACTCACTTTCCAACCCACAAATACATGGATTGTAGAGTAATTGAGGGTGAAAATCTTAGGGCCTGTTTACTAACAGAGATATTTTTCTGTTTTCATTTTCTGTTTTCAGGTCTCCAGTTTTCTGTTTTTGTTTTCCATTTTTTTGTTTTCCAAACCAGAAAACATGTTTACCAAAGCTTTTCAATTTTCCATTTCATTTTTTGTGTATAAAATGTTGACTTAATATTCAGAAAATAATTGCACAATTACAAACATTGAAATGACACAAATTAAAAAATAACATAAATGTTCCCCAACACTGAAAAGTCAAATAACTGAAATAAGTGACATTATTTTAATCAGAACAAAAGTCGTACATCGCCATATCATACATCATAAGCATCCCATATTGCATTTGCAATACTTTCTCGCATTTCATGCATTTATTGTTGTTGACATCAAATTCGAGTGATTCATTTTCACTTGTACTTGTCGTCATGTTAAATATCATATCCTCTTGCTCGTACTCCATGAACTAATGGTCGTTCCTATGGCATCATCCTTTTCCTCTTGATTTAAACTCATCTACCACCAAAAAATATGGACAGGTAGAAAAAATATCATCTAAGGAGAGTAGAAATTGCCAAAGATAAAAACCATGCTGTCTGAAACACAGGTGGATGAGTTGATCGATATATTATTCCATAGTTAGCAGCAACCCAGAGTCCTAAGCTACTTAACTACTTTAGTTGTCAACTAAGCAAAAGTACAGTACTTAATTAATAATATTGACTACAATCCATTTATAACTTGGGTGTGATTTTTTGGATCACATCAAAACACAAAAACCTGCAACACTTCTTTCATATCTTGTTGTAATATATTCATTAAAGCAATAATTTTCTTTAACATCTAAGTCCTGCAGTGTTATCAAAGTATGACACAAAAATTACATGGGAAATTTCCCAAAGTAGGAGTAAAACAATGTAAAACTAGAGCAGAAAGTGACAGAAATTAAAAAAGACTGCTTCGTGAAGTTGAACTAAAATCCATAATGTGTAGAGTTGGCAGACATATGCAATAGATGAGGAAATTATTCTGCAACTCCTGGATTTAATAAGAAGCCAAAGAAAGTCATTTTATTGCACTTTTGTATGGAATGTATATAATTATTAACTATTAAAATAATATACCATGTACAGAACATTCATTAGCATCAAAGTGATAGAGTGAAATAATCCTACTTGTAACAAGTTTCATACTCCGTACTAAGTTTAAAGGCTAATTCTGTCAGATAGAGTAATACTCTTCATACAAAAATTAAAAAATAAAGCTCAATTGCCTTTGAAGAAGACGCAGAAACAAAAAAAAACTCAATTGCTCTTCACATTTCAATCACGTTCGAATTTTAAACAACAAAAAGTGAAAATTCCATTTTATTAGAGAGCTTACCTTGATGTAGTTGACAGAACACGAGACAACCGAAGATTTGGGAGATTCCGTCATGTTGGGGAGCAGCTGCTAGCAACAATTTCCCTGTTTGGTGAAGCTGGAGCATGGTTGACATGTGAAGAAGGAAGACGATGTTTAGTAAACCTAGGACCTGTAGCGTGTTGGAGAAGCGGTGTGTTTGGAGAAGCTGTGTGTTTGGCGAAGCTTTCCAGCGACTTTAATAGCTACGGAAGTGGATAGATGTTCTTCAAATTGCATCAGGGTTGGCGGAGATGTAAAGAGGGTAGGCGGACCGCGGAAGAAGCTTAGCCGCAGTTGAGGCGAGAAATTAGAGGTTAGGCGGAGAAGCTTAGGCGCAATAGAGGCAATAAAGAGGTAGGCGGAAGAAGGAAGGCAAGCGAATAAATGAAGATACTGTAGCCGCGTGTTTTCTAAATCGTGAAAACGCATAAAAGTAGGTTTTCAATTTTAAAGGTAAAACGCGAGATACGTTTCAGTTTTCGTTTTCTGAAAAATAGATAGGTAAACACGTTTTCTAATTTTTCTATTTCCAGTTTTCCATTTTTTTGAAAAAACAGAAAATATCTCTGTTAGTAAACAGGCCCTTAAATTTGGTTTTTCACCCTCCCGTTTGCAACCAGGCTAACGGTTGTAGCTATTCATTCTACAGGCTAGATGACCTTTAATTTTTAAAAAGTGATATTTGTTTTAATTTGCCCTTTTTGAGATTTTCAGGAGCATTTGGATATAAAAAAATGCCATTGTTGCATAAATAATATGATTACTAATAATCCTGGAAATTTTGTCTGAACTATTTGTATACCACATATTCCATTTAAACTTTTGGTAAATAAAGTAAATGAAATATGTCACCTATTATTTAAGTGTGTACAGTGCGCACTTTAACGATGATATTAAAGAACTATCTCAATCTGACCATGCTCCTCCCAATTAATAATGTTTGTATCTATGACAAATAAACAACTTGTAGAAGCAAAAATGCAGTAGTTATATTTAAGAGAAGTTGTTATTATCAAGTCTTATTTTAGACTACTATTATACCTATTTGTAATTGCATAAAAGTATCTTGCTGCATACAGATAGTTGTCATGGAACCGTATGAACCACAGTCTTGCAACAAATATAGAGTTTATAATTGCAAATCCCCATTTCATTTACCTTGAATGTTTAAATGCTATGCCACAGATAATAACTCAAGTTTTAATTGATGGGAAATTTAACAATTAAAATTTCTAACCAGAAAGCAATTGTGAATTTATACCCTCGTCGTAGTGAAAAACAGGTGTCTGAGCTTCAATTCCATTGATTACTGTATCCAGGCTAGAATTTACTGGAGCTTCATCTCCTCCAACACTTGTTGTTCTATTATCTCCATCCATTTCACTTATCTCCATTTACTTTTTCAGGATTTCTTTGCTATATAAATCTTTCATCCACTTCTCATCGCCGGATTTTATCTCCTCCTCTCGCAGGTTACTTTTTATCGGCCGACTTCGGACTCCTTGTATTTGGATCGCCGGACTCTGCCTTGCGAATCACCTAGTTACTTTCCGGCTTTGCAGCCACCGAGTAACGCCGGCAGCTTTCCGATGGAAAATCAGCTCCTCACTGAGTTTGAAAACGCGGCGGCTAACATACCGGATTCACCTCTCCCTCTCCGGGCCATAAACTTTGTTCTGTCTCTCGTCAGCAACCCTTCCACCACCGATTCTTCTCTGGCCGCTATTCTCAAAACCCTAACCCAATCTCTCCAAAATCCTAACCACCGCCACTCTCACCACCGCGCTATCCTCTCCATCCTTCATCTCCTCGCTCGCCGCCACCCCCACCGAAGAAAAGACGTCATCAACTCCATCCAATCATTCTCACTCCTTCCTTCTACCTCCACTCGCTCCTATGCCGAGGCCCTCTCTGCTCTCCTCTCCCTATCTGCTACTGACGCCTTCAACGAACCAGAGTTCCTGTCGCTGGTTTTCCGGCCATGTGTATCTGTCAGGATTTGGCTCTTGCGGAATGCTAACAGCTTTGCGATGCGGCCATCAGTGTTGTTTACAGTTCTGTTTGGGTTGACCAAGGACCCGTATCCGAACATGCGTAGCGCTGCATTGGATGGACTATCTGGATTATGTAAATGCATTGTGGTTGAAGATAAGAGTCTTATTCAAGGTTGTTATTTTCGTGCTGTTGAGCTACTATTTGACACTGAGGACACTGTGCGATGCTCTGCAATTTGTGCGGTATGATCTCCTACAACTGGACTGACTTTGCTTCAGTAGTGACTCTACTTGATGAGTCTTGGTCGTGTAGAATTGAAGCTAAATGCTTAATGGTGCTGCTTTCTGAGTTTAGTTATTGATATTCTCTTGTTTTGTTTTTGGTAATTACTCCGTACTAATTAGGAATCGCCACCAGTAGTCTAGTATTGGATATACCAACCGCCTCCTGTTAGTTTTACCCACTGCAAAATTTCTATGTGACAGTCTGAAAAGTTACTGTCTGGAATCATGTTTATTTATTCCCACCGTTGATATTTGGTAGTGAAGGGCATCAAGTGTGAAAATCTTTTTGAATTTTGACATTGCTAGTTTGTGTGTCTTTCCCGATTAGCAAATCTTCATTTGTAAATTACAACGAATAATCTAACAATTTATGAGATAGTCATTGAACATTTCTTTGTTTAGAACCTGAGATTGAGTGCCTCTTCTATGCCTAATCACACTTGTGCATTTTTTTTTGTGCCTAATATTTTATTTTCTGCATGGGCATACAAGCCATTAGTCCTGCTTGTTTTACCTTTACTTTAATTCCAGGTTAGTGAATGTGGGCATTCACTTGTGGCTGCCAACCATGAGAAAAGTAGAAGTGACTGGTCAGACACATTATTTGTACAGGTGGCCTATTCACTATGCTTTATATTGTTCTTTTTGAACTGCTGATATATAAATTTAGTGATTGTCATTTAGGGCACTACACCCCTTATCCCTGGGATTTATTTAATCTCACTATCTATTTTCTCTGCCACATGTTGAATCATAACCAAAATGGTCATGGTAAGTGAAAAAAGTATTTTTGTCTTCTGAAGTTATTATGGATTTATGGTGCATGATTTGTTTTTAGCTTTGCTCAATGGTCAGAGATATGAGTGTCAAGGTTAGAATACAAGCATTTAATTCTCTTGGGAATGTTGAATTGGTCTCCAAAGATCTTCTCTTACTGACCCTATCAAAGAAAGCTTCACCAGCCATGAAAGAAAAGAACTTTCCAGGACAGTTCACTACCAAATCCTCTAAGCTACCAGCATCAAGTGCTGCTTTTGCTTTTGTGAATGGCTTGGAGGACGAATTCTATGAGGTACAACTTATCCATGAATAGGTTATAATATCTGTCTCTGGAAAAGGTCGGCTGTATACTGTCATGTTTTGGGTTCATATGCATGCAGATTACTCCCTCGGGTCTTGTATAACTGGCCATTCAGAAAAGACATTTGTGAACAAAACCAAAAACAACATTCCCTTTAGAAAACCATTTAAATAAAAGTAAAATGACCATGTTACCCCATCATATACTTGACCTTTGTTTGTTACTAATTTACTATTAATACCTAAAGTAATTAACACCTAAAGTAATTCAGATGTTGCTGTTAATTTAGCATAAAATGAATCATCATCATCATCATCACCCCAGTGCCGCAAAGGCTCCCAAAGAGGCTGTTTCCGGATGACCCATAGTGAAAATCGTGTCGAAATTTACATGGACTGACTGCTACTTCATAACAAAGAAGGGCAGACAGTTTACTGAGCCATTTTGCTTTATTCCATCATATTTCAAGCCAAAAAATAGTGAGTTTTTGGCTCCATTGAAAATGATGGAAATTATAAAATGAATGATCACTTAAAAAATAATTCTACCTCAGTGGACAGTTATTTTAAAAAGGTGGGAGTATGTGCGATCTGCAAGTCCATATATTTTTGTTCCCTTTCTATAAATTTCAGTGAGACTTGTGTCACTGTTAATTTTTTCATCCATTTTCATTTGAAGGTACGAAGTTCAGCCTGTCGTGCCTTACAGAGATTGACCATTCTCTCTGCTGATTTTGCGGGCGAAGCTATAAACCTTTTGGTGGATGTTCTTAATGATGATTCACTGGATGTAAGGTTGCAAGCTTTAGAGGCGATGCATAGCATGGGAATGTTTGATTGTCTAAAGGTGCAAGAAGCACATTTAAAGCTGGTAATTATCTGCTACATCTATTGATCTAAAAACACCCTGCAGGATTACTCCGAGACTAGTAGCATGCATAAGCTTCTAGTCATACATTTGTGTTTAACAGTATTGTTAATTAGACATTGAATGGATATGCTAATATAAACAATCAAACATGCGTCTTATAGTCTTGTACCGAAACATAGAAGTTACTAGATGAATAGATGTATGCATTTATATACTTAAGAGTTTAATCCCCTACAATGTTTTGTATCTGCACAAGTCACTGAATTATGCTTCCTTTGAAAGTTCATATGATGATTGACTTTGGAGGTCAACTTGTTGTGCAGTTTGTCAGTACTCTTGTGGATAATGACAATTTGATAAGGTCTGCAGCAAGGAGAGTAGTTAAGATAACTAAACTCAGGACTTTGACTCTTTTCAAAATGTGCATTGACGGCCTTGTAAAAAATTTAGAACTCTATCCGCAGGTATTTTATATTTAAACAATGATTATCAATCTATTGCATTTGTGTGTGTATGCTTGTTGATTTATATGGTAGTTAAGTATCCTGTAGTTTTATTACTCCCTTCGTCCCAAAATTTTCTCCTACCTTCTTTTTTGGGATGTCCTAGAATTTTCTTCCCTTTTTTTGGAAAGGTTTGTGTCGTTGATATTGTTTCTCCTTTTTTCTATCAGCAACAACCATACAATTTCACTATCTTAATAAGTGCGCCAAGTCAATAATTTTTTTGGACAGAGGTGTACTGTTAAAAGTGAATTTACTGTAATGTTTTTATATACTCACAGCAGTAGTAATGTTGATTGATGGAACTTCTCTTGCTATTTATTTCAGGATGAAGCTGATGTGTTTTCTGTATTGTTTAGTCTTGGTAAAAAGCATGGGAAGTTTGTTGTGAACGTGATCCATGGGGTTTCCAACTTGGTAAGTATTAATATTAGTACCATTGTTTATTTAATTTTGGTTTAACTGTTTTACTTGCTACAGTACGAAGCACACACTTTAGCATTGTCTTATCACAGATGGACCTATAAAACGTCACCTATTCGCTGAAGTTGATTTTTTAAGTGTCTCATCTTTGCACCAGATAGAGCCATCTCTTGGTGGGAAGTGGAGCTTGGACAATGCAAGAGCATCTTCATTTATGGTGTTGGCAATCTCAGCTCCGGTGTCACTAGAGCGGCGAACCTGCAGCATTCAACCAGTAATGTTCTCATATGCAGTCACCATACTGGGGAGAATATCACATGGTTTAACTGATGTAATGAATCAGAATAACCTTCTCACTTATCTCTCTCTTTGCAGCAGATTCACATTTGCTTCTGCTGCAGAATTCTTCAAAGCGGAAGAGTGTGGTCCCTCACACTCTAAGGAAGGTGATGCGTACTTGTTGATTCAAAATGAAACTGATGGAGGTTGCTCTGAGAAAATAAATGAGGTAAAGAGGGGAGATTGCACAACAGCTATTCTACAGAAGGTCACAGACATCTGGCCATTGCTAGAACTTGGATTGGTGGATAAAGTATCTCAAACTGTGGGGTAAGTTTGGATCTCATGAAATGATGTGGAAAGTTATTTTCATAGAGAAAGTCTAGATGAATACTAATGATGTCTTTAATTGGATTGGTTTCAGTCCGAGACCAGACAGACTTAAGCAGACCACACTAGACAAAACTTCAACAAGTTATAAAATACAAATAGAATAAACATCTACGAGACCAGACCAGATTTAAATAAACCCAATCAGACCAGAAAATTTCAGTCCTATAAAAAACATCCAAGGTGTACATTATGAGGAATCACTTGGCATGTATTTTTTTGGGTGATGGTCACATGCCCAACTTTCGTCAATCAATAAAATAATAAATGCAAGTCACAAGGGAATGTCATAATAATTTATCCTAATGTTCCTCTAGACGTAGTCATTTTCTCACAAGTGGGTGAGTGGCTTTATAATACATTAGGAAACCAAATATGGGCTATTTATTTTCAAAAATTTCCATAAGGTTAGATTTCTTAGTATTTATATTAAGAAATACGGAGTATATAAATAAAACAAGTTTGAACACATAAAAATTTATTTTTTGAGTAGAATATTTTTATGTCTCCCCAAATTTTCATTCATTCCAAGTTTCTGCACTATTTTCCTTCATATTTTCTTTCATGCTTAGTATATGTGGCCTAAACGGACCCTTAAGATTGCAAATTATTGAGATTCTTTACTATCGATGTGTTCATGTTAATAAACAAGATTAAATATATCTTCTTGATCTGCTTGAATGCAATATATTCTGATTCTTTCGCTCATACAGATGCTTGAAGGCAGAGGTGACAAGACTGGAAAGTGTCTACCAATGCAGGGGTGAATTGGTTTTCATATCATACTATTTGGATGCCATAGAACTGATTGGAAGGGTGTGGGGCCGCCTCATGTTACCCAGAAGGTTCTGCACCCACCAAATAGGAGATTGGCGATTGTTGTTTGACAAACTTGACACGATTCTAAAAGAGATGAGGTATAGGTTCATAGGTTTGACCAAAGAGGACGAGTATCATATCATGGAACTCAAGCTTGTGACGGAAACAGCAAAACTGTGTACATCAGAAGCATTCTGCCATAATAACAACAGTGCTTTAGTAAAATTACGTTCCAGGGCACAACTGATGCATGAATATGGACCTGATGCACTTTCCGGGTTTGTCAGAGAGCTTTATACAGGTTTGAATGAATGCATTCCAATGGAGAATCCATTATTTCTCTTGACGTCTCTCAAGAAATTCAAACCGAGACAGTTAGTTCTACCACAAAGAAAGTTCAAATGTAAAATGGCTGAAATGGATGTTGAAGGTACTGACTTTCAGTATCCTCTGCCGTTCGTTCCGGGGTTACCTGTTGGTGTTTCCTTTGCAATGAAGATTTACAATGTGTCGTTTGAGAATAGGCTTTGGGTGAAAATGTGCGTAGAAGAGAAGTTAACCCAGTATGCCTATCTTGATTTGCTTGAGCTTGGTAGTGGAGATGATGAGGTCAGAAAATTTAAGATTGTATTGCCGTTTCACAGAACCCCTAAAGCCAGATGTTTCTCAATGAGGGTTTGTGTTGTTATAGAATGTTTATTGCCAGACTATGCACCCCAAACCCCCCTGCCTGTGATTTATGGTGGTCCAAAACATGATGTTGCTAATATATGCGAAGAGAAAGAAGTGTATTTCTCCATGGTTGTAAAATAGATGATGCAGTTTATGTATCTGTTGTAACTTGTATATGTCATTCTAGTTAGATACCACCCTATTTCAGACACAAGTAATTTAGAGAAGTATGTTCATCTTGCCAATGAATTGCGCCCATAAGCGTTGCACACTTGCACATGCTAACCCTATCTTCTAGTCTCAAACTCTCAATCACTGGTGAACATTAAGATATTCTAATGTCAACAAAAATGGCTATACTTGGTTAAGAAACCAATTTGTTCCCCATCCAAACCTCCAACAGCGGCAGGGTAGTTAACATTTTCTGCCCGTAGAAATCCAATACCAATATGATCAAACTGACATCTAATGGGAAACTGGCAATAGTCAACAATCTAGCGGTAGCAGGAGTTTGTTTCGCCGTATTGATATCGTAGATGTCAACGCTATTGCTAGTGATATGTCTGTGGTGGCACGTCGCCATAGTTAATCGTAGTGAGGGCTGCGTTTTTTTTGCAAGAAACAAAACCAACTTTCATTAATTCGGTATCAACCATATAAATTTACTTTTCTAAAGATGCACTTTTTCCTCATGTCTCAATGATACTGAGACGGAGGTACTAAGTTTGTATTAGGGGTGTTTGTCAGTTCGGTTTTATAAGTTTGATTTTGGTTAGTTTCGGTTTTTGGTTCATCGGTTTTAGTTTTTAATCCATCGGTTTTAGTGACTTTTAGAATAGATGAAACTGAGAATCAGATTGCAATATTTGAGTCAGTTTGAGACTCAAGTCGTTTCATATTTTTTTCGGTCAATTTTAGTCGTTTTTGCTGGGTTTTGTTGGCCGATTTTATTTTGACCGGGGTTTTAACACAAAAGTATAAACCGTAAATCGAATAACTGATGAATTAGTCACTTTTGATCGGTTTCTGTTTTATCGGTGTGATTTTGATCGGTTTCGGTTTTGATCAGTCGATTTGTCGGTCGGTTTGGTTTTTTCGTTTTTTGTTCTCCCCTTGTTCCCTTGTTTATACGTCGTTTTTATTTCTTTATTGTTCCTAATGTCATTTTATCAAAACTTGTGACATGTCTATCAATATTTCCCTAAAATATGTCGATATACTTACCGATATTGATCAAACCCTTAATTGTTCGCATTAAAATTCTATATGATAGAATTTGACGCTACAGTTAAAAATTACTCCTTCCGTCCCAAATTATAAGATACTTTTCGGTTTACGATGTTTGACCGACGATAAAGCAAACGGATCCCTGTGTGCACTCAAATTAATTTTAGAAAAAAAGAATTACATATTCAGAAATTACATTAAAACCGCTACAAAACCTGCAAAAAGTAATTCAAATTTCATAAAATTTTGATATATAAAGTAAGAGATTAAGAGTGATTTGTGTTGACCAAGTGAATAGGAAAGACATGTTATAAAATGGGAGAAAGGGAGTAAAATATAGGATGAATATGGATCTCATAAGATTCACTGATGCATGTTCCTCCTCTTTTCTCCATCTCTATTCTCTATTGGATTTATTTATTTGTACAAAAAACTGATCAATATCAACTTCCTTTAATTGCAAAGTTTAAAAACCGTAGGTTTGGACCAAACCAGTCAGCCAGCCTAAAGCAATGGCGACGCCTGCGGTTACCCCTACTTCGAACCGCCAATCCACCACCGCCTCCAGCACCGTAGCATCCCCTGATACGGGGGCCTTCGTTACCACCCCTGCTTTCCGCAACTTTGTAAACCAAATCTCGGAGAATGTACGGAATGGCCTTTCCCACCGCCGTCCTTGGCACGAGATGGTTGCCCGCTCCGCCATCTCCAAGCCGGATTCCTTCTCGGAAGCCACCCTCCGCGTCCGCAAGAACTACGCCTATTTCCGGACGAATTACCACATTCTCACCGCCGCGGTGATCGGAATCTCGCTCATGAGCAATCCGCTCACCCTCTTCCTCCTCGTCGCCCTCCTCGCCGGCTGGCTTTTCCTCTACATCTTCCGCCCTGCCGATCAACCTCTCGTCCTCTTCGGCCGCGAGTTCTCCGATTTTGAAATCCTCGCCGGCCTCGTCGTGTCGACCCTGTTCGTCGTCTTCCTGACCAGTGTCGGATCCGTTCTGGTCTCAGCCTTGTTTGTGAGCGTCGCCATTGTTTGCGTCCATGCCGCTTTTCGTGTTCCCGAAGATTTCTACTTCGACGAACAACACACGGCTCCCGCCATTGGGATCATCTCTTTGTTGACCGGCGGCGCAGCCACAAACGGTGCGGCTCCGCCTCCTCCTGCCGCTGTAGCTCGCGTTTGAATCTACTAAGTGCAGATGATTTGATTGGTTGATATGGTGGTAATTAATCAATGGTGCTGTAGAACTCGATATCTCATACGGAGACACGGAGTACCAAAATTCTCAAATTTGCTCATAATTTCAGTTATGTCCATTCAATCTTCACATTAAAATGTCCAAATTAAACATGTTTACTTAGTTTAATGGTATATATGGATACATATACTTATTCCATCATCAGATAGTATTAATCTTTACTTGAAATACTACGTATTAAAGTATATGTATAAAAGTATGGCTTTTTATTTTTTTACGAGTAATAACTACAAAGCTAAGTATAATTCTAAAAAAATTATGGATTTTAGGGTATCTATGATGTTTTTACTTGGATTGTTCAATTCCAAACCAGACTAGAGTTAAATATACTAGACTTTCATAATTATAGACTTTTTTTTATCGTAATTATAGACTTAAATATACTAGATTTCATAATTATAACATATATATATAACGGGATTTAACATTTCCCAGAATAGATCAGAGCAGTTCAGATGATACTTAAATAGATCAAACTAGATCAGACCAACAAATTTTAGTCAAAGTAAAAACATCCTTAATTCCTTAATAAATACCGAGTACTCCACATATAATGTTAACAATCTTTGGTCATTATTGTGATATACTCCGTATGACATTCTATTAAGAATATTTATATGTCACGAGTATCGGTTGAACATAGTGAATAATTTAAGAAATATAAAAAAAAAAAAATTGACTTCAAAAAGCTCAAACCGAAAGCTAGTAGCGGATAGATAATTATTTTAGGGAAAAGGTACATATATCCCCCTGTAATATAGGTGGAGGAACAAATATACTCTTGTTCTATTTTTCGGAACAAATATACCCCTCAACTTTAAAAAGGTGCAAAAATATCTCTCATATATGTTTTTATAAAGGAGCAAATTAATCCTTATTGACTTTACATTAATAAAATAAATTTCAAAAAAGACCAAAAATAAATTAAAATATCAAATTAAAAAAAAATATTTAAAAATGTAATTGTGTCCAATTCTCCCTTTATTGTTTGTATATCACAATTTAATATTTCTAGTATAAAATATTATTTGAAAATATGTAATTTTATAGTGCAAAGAATGCAAAAAAATTATTTTTCTTTACATTGTGAAACATATGTTAGCAACTTAGCACCTTTTCGAAAGAATCTTAAACATATAGTAAAATTTTGAAATAATATTTCATACTTAAACAATATTAAATTGTGATATAAAAACTATAAAAGGGAGAATTGGACCATTACATTTTTAAAATTTTTCGTTTTTTAATTTCGAATTTATAATTTATATTCGGTGTTTTTTAAAATTTATTTTATTAATTTAAAGTCAATTAGGATTAAGTTGCCCCTTTATAAGAACATGAAAGATATTTTTGCACCTTTTTAAAAGTTCAGGGGTATATTTGTTCTGAAAAAAAGAATATGGGTATATATGTTACAACACCCATACTACAGGGGTATATTTGTTCCTTTTCCCATTATTTTATATACTCCTTTTGTCCCACAAAGAAGTTTTCGTTTTCCTTTTTTAGCAGTCCCAAAAAGAAGTTCTTCTTTCTTTAAATGACAAGTTGAAACAGTGCAAACAGTGTCAAAACAGTAAAATTTACCTCCTGTAAGTTTATTTATTTAATATGTGTAGATCAAACCGGGAAGTTCATTACGGGACGGAGGGAGTACGTAGTATTTAGAAAACCATTTTTGGAAGAATTGATCAAACTGGTTGCTCCCGGCCCGAGTCCTGTCCATTTTATCCCCAATTTTCTTCTAAATGTCCCCAAGTTTTAACGTATGACTAACACACTGTATGACTTTCTTTAAAAAAAATGACTAACATTTTTCAATTCTCTACTCCGTATTTGTCTACATATAAGCAGCGATATTGTTTCTACTATCTTACGGAACAATAAGTGTGACAATTTAAAGTGAGAAGAAAATTTTATGGGAGAGATGATATACTCCGTAGGTTTTATGCGTAACTGCACGTATATTTTTCAAGGGATGAACAAAATTGAACTGAGGCTAGATTGAAAAAGAAGCTAGAACTGAATATCTACTACTAGTCTATTATAATCTAACAGCAAAATGATTTTGGGAATGAAACTCCCGCTCAGAAATGTCACTGTCAAGGATGACTCACTTGGTTGTTCAATAAACCGAGTTTGGGTTAATAAAAAAGAAATACGTACAAGTTGTTTCCTAAAATTGTTGCGTGTAAAATTGGTCAAGAGATGCGTGCGAATTGGTTGTGACGTACTGCTTTGGGTTAAGATTCACAGATCACTATTCAAAATTTTCAATTTCTATTGGTTTTCAAAACGGTGGTACAGTATTGTAAGAATGGTTGAATGGTGTCTCAATCAAGTGTACAGTGTTGGGGATTGGATTCCCACTCAAAAATGATTAATGGGTCACACTATTGCAATTTGAAATCTAAGGAGAACAGTGTTCCCTCCAAGTGTTGAGTCTGTTTTAATTGGCTAGCTATGGAGGTGCGCACAGTGATGTATATGGGCTGCCCATGCTGTTCACACCTATAAAAGGAGAACCAATGCTCTGCTGCTCTCACATTGATTCGCATCTACAAGGGCAAATAAGAAAATGAATCAAAACACTACCATGATTTCCCAGAATCACAAGAAATTAAATTCGATGATGATGAGGTACAAAGTTTTTAATGTTATTTTTAATTTGAATTACATATTCAAATTTAATGGTGAAGCTGCTATTAACTATATTGTGAGGCTGCAAAATGATGATTTTTTTCATTCAGATTGTAGGATGTAATTCACTATAAAGAGCTTCCAAACATAAAAAAAATCATCATTTCTGATTCACTGTTCATATTCTGATGGCATATTAAACAAGTTTTAATATTTGCAGGGCTCAAAGATCCATCTCACATTCCATATTAGTTCCGGACGAAATTTCAAGACGAGGGACTGTCGTGGCTGTGCAATTAAAAAATTCATAGTTGAGAACTTTTTGTTGTTAATGATTACCACAAATACTTACAGACTGGGTTTCTTAAACAACATTCAATCTTTTGAAAACCCTAACATTTACTTCAGGTCCGGGATATTATCAGTGAGAAGACGGAGATTGGTACATTTTCAGTTTCTGATTTGATGACAATATACTTTCATTAGCTCGCTAATCTTTTTAATGGCATGTCTAAAGGAATCAAACCATCTCACTAACTATTTTAGGCTACTTATAAAGGTTATGCACGTTAAAATGCAATCATATTTCATTTATGTTCTTGAAAAATAGATTCAAATTGCAATTTAAGAGTAATGATTTTGTAATACTTTGTACTAACACACATGTAACTCAACTATTGTTAAAGATGTTCCTTCTTTTCGTGACTTCAATCTTTTTTTTTTAGTTTTAATAGATAGTATTAATAAATAGACAGATAGAAAGATGTAGTTCTCTTAGTATAATAAATATGGAAAATTGGAAATTATAGATTCCATTTTAGAGACATACCTGTGAACTCTGTTGCCGCGCCCCTTCTCCTAATTCCAACTTACTTCCAGCCTATATCTATTTATTAGATAGAAACTTTTCAAATCAGGATCACAAATTGACCCAATACGGCACGTGCTAATGAATTCCAAATTTTCAAAAAAGGACGATGGTCATCCTGCAAATGCAAAGATTTTTTACGAATCACTAAATTATTGTTTTTGGATCAGAAAGAGGGATTAAGTAAGCTGAAAAAAAATTATTCACTTTAGAATCCAACGAAATCAGTGGCATGTATTGAGAGAGGTTTCAGCACAGCTGTATAAAGGGAATGTCAAAAAACCATTCCCTTTTAATGAGTTTTTGCCATTTTTGGTCCCTCGACTATTATGTCAATGACATTTTTGGTACTCGACTTCTAATTGTTCCATTTTTAGTCCTTGACTATTGTGCTAGAGACACTATTAGTCCTCGACTTCAAGGTTTCCCACATTTTATCCCTGAGTATTGTCAAATTACCACTTTTAGTCCTCCCATTATGATTTTGACACAATAAGTGGAGGACTAAAAAAGTCCCTATTATAATAGTTGAAGGACCCAAAGTGTCACTTTTATGAAAGTTGAATGACTAAATATGGAAATTTTCAAAGACGGGTACCAAAAGTGTCGCTAGCGCAATAGTCAAGGACTAAAAATGGAAAAAATCAAAATCAAGTGCCAAAATTGTCAATGACATAATAATCGGAGGACTAAAAGTGGAAAAAATTCCCCTTTTAAGTAACTTTAAAAGATAAACAGAACTCAATAAACAATTGTACAAAAATATCAATATAGGATGATATTGAGTTCTGTTTATTATTTAACACCAAAACAGTACAGTAATCAATTGTTAACAATAAGATAAAAAGGATTCCTTATATAGTGCAGTTTATAAAGTGGTCAGTTTTTGTTAGTGGTGAGGTTATTTAACAAAATAAATAGTATAAAAAACATGAAGGCAAGGCATACCTGTCTGCTTAGCCTGTTGTGTGTTAAGAAATCCCCCAATGATAACAGATTGGACAGATTATTGTTCAAAGCTCCAAGAAAAACCTATAGAAGATTGAATCATTAGTGGTTTACATGTCTGAAATATAACTACATAATTAAAAAAATACCCATACCTGTTGCCTCATTCTTAAATTAAAAATATAGTGGTTGTTAAAGTGCTTCCTGTGGTTCCTTACAAGAATAATGGATTGTATTATTTGTGGTTTGGCGAGGTGTAAAAATGCTATTTTTTGTTGAATTGTTTTGTCTGATTTCATGTGATACAACGCACCAACGTATGGTTTAGAGGTGGGCGTTGGTAGAGATTGGGAGTTACAGTTCACTTGGCGTTGGGGAAATATTGCTCATGGTGAACTGCTCGGGTTATAAAGCCAGAGTTTGGGTGGGTTGGTCATGGTATATAATGAGGTCGGTTGGGTTCCAATGGTCTCAATAGTAAAGTATAGTTTGGTGGTGGGTTTAATGATCTTGGGGGACGATATGTCTTATACTGCGTATTATACGGAGTATAGAGAATTCGTGACATGTGACATTTATTTAAGACCATGTGTTACTTTATACGGAGTATTTTTATTATTACGTACAATTTTAGAAATGTCTAGAAATTGAATTTCAAATCCATTTTAAAACAATACATTTAATGTCATATTTTTTTAATTAAAAATTGTAAGACAAGTAATGCTACTCCGTATTTAACAA